CTATGCCCTTTTTGTTGGGTGTTCAGAGGAACTGGTTGGCCCCTGTGTGAGGTGGGATATTGGACGAGATCAGGGGTGGCCAAACTGCAGCTCAGGAGCCGCATGTGGCTCTTTCACACAGTCTAATTTAATGTTAATAAAAAGCAAGTTTGCATATTTTCCAATAAAAACATGTGTGTAATATTTGTTCAAGTCTTGCAGCTCTCAAACATCTGGCGTTAGTTCTGTGTGGCTGTTACATTTAAACACGTTTGGCCACCCCTGGGCTAGATGGACCATTGGCCTGATCCAGCAGGGTTCTTCTGATGTTCTAATGAAGGCCTTGGCCTCCATGCCCTGTTGTTAGCCCTCCAGAGGGACCAGTTGGCCACTGTGTGAGACAGGAGCCTGGGTTAGATGGACAAAGTGGTCTGGTCCAGCAGTGCTTGCCTTATGTTCTTATGAAGACCTCGGCCTCTATGCCCTGTTATTGGCTCTCCAGAGGAACCAGTTGGCCACTGTGTGAGACAGGAGGCTGGAATGGATGGACCACTGGTCTGATCCAGCAGGTTTCCACTGATGTTCTAATGAAGGCCTCAGCCTCTCTGCCCTGTTGTTGGCCCTCCAGGGGAACTGTTTGGCCACTGTGTGAGACCGGATGCTGGACTAGGCGGACCACTGGTCTGATCCAGCAGGTTTCCACTGATGTTCTAATGAAGGCCTCAGCCTCTCTGCCCTGTTGTTGGCCCTCCAGGGGAACTGTTTGGCCACTGTGTGAGACCGGATGCTGGACTAGGCGGACCACTGGTCTGATCCAGCAGGGCTCTTCTTAACATTAAGTGGTCAGGGTCCCTCAGTTATTTCCTACCCTTGCATCGTAGCTTTTGTGTGTCTCTGTGTGTGTGTTTAAATTGCTGTGTTCCACTCTGCCTCCTTATAGGAACCATTCTATGTCCGCTGCATCAAGCCCAATGACAAGAAATCTCCCCAGCTGTTCGACGAAGAACGTTGCAGGCATCAGGTGGAATACCTTGGGCTTCTGGAGAACGTGCGGGTCCGACGGGCTGGATTTGCCTATCGCCAAACGTATGAGAAGTTCCTTCACAGGTAACAAAGGATGAGCCTCTTTCAGGGTTTTTTTTGGGGGGGGGCACAACTACACATGAAGCCCCAGCTGTACCATGTAGTGCAGTTTTGGCTTTTGTGATACAGATCAGAGGGTCTCTAACTTGGGGGGGACTCTGGAGAGTGGCATAAAAACCTCCTAAATAGATTTTGGCAACATTACTGCAGATAGCAGCAACCAGCCAATTCTGTAGCCTTTTGAACAATCCCTGTTCTTGACTTAGGCTGTTACGGGGAAACAGCCTTTGTCTTTCACCTGTTTGAAAGTTTCTCCTCCCACCTCTCTTCAGCAGATTAGCACTGGAAAAGTTTCCCCAAAAGAGCAGGAAGAGATGGAAACAAGTGAACAGAGGTTTTGCCGTCTGGGTGCATAGGAAACATGGATGCTGCCATAACCGAACAAAAATGCCTCACCAGAGCTAAATACAAATGAAACAAACACTCCATCAGTTACATGGTCATTTCCTATTTTGGGCAACTAAGCAGCTTTCTAATACCTTTCCATATGACTGAAGTCATGTGTTGCACTTTCCTTGACTTGACTAGAGAAGCCACTCCAGAAACTGCATGCTGGGATTGGTTATTTGTTTAGATCTCCGTATACTTCTCTTTTTCCTAATGGGGATCCGATTCTGTGACGGTGTTTCGGTCAGCTGAGGGGACCCACAGCCTCCTATGGTTTTGAGCAGAGCTATTTTTGGGCAGGAACGCACAGGAATGGAGTTCCGGCTGGCTTCCAAGTTGGCCACACCCAACAGCAGAAACTCATTGGCTACATTAGGGGTGTGTGGCCTAACATACAAAGGAGTTCCGGCTAAAAAAAAAAGGCCCTGGGTTTTGACCACAAACAAGGTGAACAGAATAACAAGCAAAAGGTGGGTGTGGCTGGATGACCACACTTCTGGTAACGTGGGGGTGCGGCCTAATGTGCTAATGAGCTGTGCTGTCAGGGGTGTGGCCCAATATGCTAATGAGTTCCTGCTGTTGGGTGTGGCCTATTTCTACAAAAAGAGCCCTGAGGGAATCAGATTGACTTTAAACTATAGGCCTTTCCCCTCAGATACCAGCTGTACTAAAGGGAGTGAGTGTCTAGGCTTTGGGTCCACTGCTGTGAGGTCAGTTTTGGGGCGCACAAGCAGAATATGGAGGTGAGGTGACTGAGGCAGGAACTGTATACCAGCCACAAAGAAGATTTATTAGAGACTGGTTTCCAAGAACAGATCAGCAGCACAGGTCCCCCGACAGACAAAAGGGAAACCTGGCTGAGGCACATTCATTTAGAGATTCGTTTCAATTTTCTTTCATACTTTTAAACATAAACAGGCTTTCGCCGATTAGCCACCCACACCAGCCTGATCTTTCCCAAGGGTCAGACTCAATGGCACAAGGTCTGCTCATTGCCAGAGACAGGCCTAACAATCGGGTACTCTGTTCTGTGTCAGAAGTAGAGCCAAACCACTACTGCCACCCTGCCGAGCAGAGTTACCCCTTCACTCTGTCTGCTCTTTTCCTGAGCCAGACCTGAGCTCTCACTGCTGTCTCCCTGAGGTAGATCTGAACTCAGCTCCTGCTGTGTTTCCCTCCAACATTCCAACACCCTTCTCAAAGGTGATTGGATGCTGGAGCAGCACTCCCATACACTCAGGAGTGGCTGTTTTCGTCTTCAGGGGCAGGACAGCCTTCTGTCCAGGGGGGGTTTTGTAGAAAAAGCCCAGCAGGAACTCATTAGCATAATAGGTCACACCCAACAGCAGAAACTCATTAGCATATTAGGCCACACCCCTGACAGCACAGCTCATTTGCATATTAGGCCGCACCCCCATGTTACCAGAAGTGTGGTCATCCAGCCACACCCACCTTTTGCTCCTTATTCTGTTTACCTTGTTTGTTGTCAAAACCCAGGGCCTTTTTTTGTAGCAGGGACTCCTTTGCATGTTAGGCCACACACCTCTAATGTAGCCAATCGGAATGAGTTTCTGCTGTTGGGTGTGGCCTATTATGCTAATGAGTTCCTGCTGGGCGTGGCCAACTCAGGAGCCAGCCAGAACTCCGTTCCTGTGCGTTCCTGCCCAAAAATAGCCCTGCTTCTGTCCATCACAGATGCCGCTTTCAACATTTTTTGCCTCCTTCCTCCATTTTATCCTGGCGTTATAGTGTCTATAGCTCGTTCCCCCCAAAAGTCAAGATGGTGGAGCAAGAGCGCCTCTACTTGGCTGGCCCCCAGTGTACATCAAGAAAAAACGGCGGGATTGTTCCAAGAGAACAAGTATAAAGAAAACAGCCGTGAGTGTCTGACCCACAAATCAAGCAGTCAACAAGACTTGCAAAGAAAATGCTTACTATGTATTACAGTCCAAAGCACTACAACACAATAAATCAATTCCTACAAATCATAAGAAAATCCTAGTGCAAAGGTTGACATCATCCACGTCGTTTCCGGATTATATAACAACGTTTCAAAATTGGATCTTCCTCAGTAAATGTTAGAGTGGTACAAAAGTTCTCTTGTTCATAAAGTGCTTTACAACAAGTCATGAAAGACAATACATTCAGATAGGATGCTGATCTCAGTAAATGTTCAGGCTCAAGTATGCTGCTAAGCTTCTAATGGATCTTAGGCGTCTCCAAGAGCTTGGGTTGTTCCAAGAGCTGGACAGACTCTGTAGGAACAGTCGGTGAGGATTTTGCTGGGGCCACCCTGAATGCATACCAGGACTGTATGTTTTCCTGCCAAGGCCAGTTGGTGGACTGTTGGGCTTGACCTGAGTCCTGAGAGTGGCAGGCAGAAGACACTGCCCTGTAGAGAAGGCGAGGATGAAAGGCCTGGCTCCAGCCTGTTCTAGAGACAACATATCGTCTTTCAACCACGAGTGCCAATGTTGTATACTTCTGTCACCTTTTATTCCTTGGGGGGCCCCTGTGCCCAGAGCTGGTTCCTTGTCGGATCCTAGTTCAATGCCAGGAGCCCCTGACAAGCCTGAAGAATTCTCCATTTTTAAGCAAAGTGTCTGAACCACTCGGGTTCACTGAATCTTATCTGTTTGGTGTTTTGTTCTGCAGGTTGTAGTATGCTTAAAAGCAACGGCAGTCAAATAGTCTCTCAACACGCTAAGTTTTAAAACCTTGATGCTCTGTAGAACAGAAACCAAGGGGAAAAATCTTTAACTGGAAGCACCCTGATCCCTGTTTAAATGAATCCTGTACAAAGCACTAATTCCATTAGCTTCTGTTGGAAGCTGTCTTTCCAAGGAGTAAGGAAAGGAGAGAGAGTCTCTGCGTTTCCTACAGTTGTAACATATGTCCAGTGCCCCCTAAATCTCCATGTGAATCTGCAGATTCCTTCCCTTTCTCCCCTGAAGGAAGTTCCAGGTGTTCAGCTGTGTTGGTCTGAAGCAACAGAACAAATTGAGAGTCCAGTCGGACACCTTTCAGACCAACAAAGGGTTTATTCGAGGTGTGAGCCTTCGTGCGCAAGGCACACTTCTTCAAATGGAGCGGAAGTTAGCGTTCAAACTTATAGACAGGCTGAACAGCAAGTTTACATATAACATGATTAAGATGTTTTAAGTTATGCAAAAAAAAGAGAGATGCCTTTACACACGTATCCCCTATTTTGACATATGTATTGCTTCGGTGTCCTTTCCCCACCTTAATTAAATCAAAACAACCAGGGCTATTTTTGGGCAGGAATG